CCATATACTTACTTCCTATATTCTTCATTTGTTACATTTTGCTTTGTTTGTGTTATGGACTGAATGTGTGTATTCTCCCAAAAGTTACATGTTGAAGCCTTAATCCCCAATGTGATGGTATTTGGATGTGTGACCTTTAGGAGGTAATTAGGTCATGAGGGTGGATCCCTCATGATTGAGATTAGTGCCCTTATAAGAGAAGACAAGAGAGAGATGATTTCTCTCTCTGCCATGTGAGGATACAGCAAGAAGGTGTCTGTCTGCAAAGCAGGAAGAGGGTTCTCACCAGGAACCAAATCAGCTGGACTTCGATCTTGAACTTCCCAGCCTCCAGAACTGTGAGAAATAAATTTCTGTGAAGGCACTTAGCGTATGGCATTTTTGTTGTAGTAGCCAAGCTCAGACCATTTTCTTTCTCATATACCTGGGTATCTATCTACCCATCAATCCCTCTTAGCTGTATTCATCATTATTCTTCACCCCTAAACATTTCTGCATACATTTAAATAACCAGAGTTCAATATTTTATGGTTCTTTTCTACTTTAAGGTAAAATTTACACACAGTGAAATGCACAAAGCCTAGTACCATTTGGTAAGTTTTGACAAATGCAAACATCCATTTAACTCATACTCCCATCGAAATACAGAACATGCCCATCACCTCAGAATATTCTTTCATGTCCATGCCCAGTTCATCTTGACACTGATACCAATCCTGAGGCAACCACTTTTCTGCTTATTTTCACTATAGATAAGTTTTGCTTATTCAAGAACTTCCTATGAATGGAGTCATGTAATAGGTACTCAGTATGTTTTTGAGATCCCATGTTAATTTCCTTTTTAGTTGTTGAATAGTATTCCACTATATAAATATATCTTTGTTTATTCATTCATGTGGACATGAGGGCTCTTTGCAGTTTTGCCATTATGAATAAATCTGCTCTGAACATTCTTGTGCAGGTCTTTTATTCTTCTTCTTCTTCTTTTTAACATGTGGATAAATGCCTAAAAATGGAACTGTTGCATTTTCAGCGCAAGTTTAGTTGTATAAGAAACCGCCAGGCCTTTTCCCAAGTGGTTGTTCCATTCCCACCAACAATGTATTCTCCACATCCTCACCAACACTTGATGGAATCAGCCTCACTTTTAGCCTTTCTAGTGCACGTCATGGAGACTCATATCTAAGAATGCTCTCACCAGCTTCTACCCATCAAAGCAAAACCTGCCTCTCACTGAGACCTCTCCCCCAAGTATTTACCTCGGAAGTTGGAGAAGGGGGGCTTACATTTCAGTGGTTTATTTCTTCTAAGGCCCTAACAGAGAAGAGGAATTTCATCTACTATCTGTCCGCCTTTCCTTTATCTTGCTTAGAAAGAAAAGTTTAAAATGTCCGAACAGTCATCCGACTGGATCAAGCTGTCAAGTTCAAAGTTCTCTGTTTCATGATATATTTTGAGGCAAAAGATTCTCACTTCTAAATCTCCAGCCTTCCTCCCAGTTTCTAGCAATATTTAGAAAGTTCGATATTCAAGAGAAGAAAATTTCCCAATATTCAGGCTCAACCTATTCTCCTTCAGGCTTCCCTAAGGACCATTCTTCAATTATCATAGCTACTCTGTAAAGCAGGATTGGTGTCCCCTGTTTACAGAAGAGGGAACTGTCCCTGAGCCCAGAGTCTTATGCACAGGGTTTTAGGACCCTCACACGAGCGTTCCCACACATGCCTCTCCCCTTGCAGGCAGCTCCTCATGGCAGACTCTGACCTGTGATGCAGGGCTCTGGCGTCACCTCCTACCCTCCATCCACCTCATGGGGACAGTTCACTTGGCCATCTCCCTCAGCCACCCATCACCCCCAGGCCCACTCATCCCCTAGCTTGCATCCTCTCTCCTCCCCCCTTTCTTCCAACTCTGCTCAGTTATCTCATAAAACTCTTGTTCTGTCTCTTATTTTCTTCCATATGGGAACTAAAAATGTAACCTAAGCTTGCCTGATGACTGCCAAAGTAGTGCTAGTGGCATAATAAAGTGAGACATAATGAAGAGCCAATGCCATCAACATCTAAAGCCCTTGAAAGTACCAAGAGATCCCTTTTACAATCTCCACAAAGGAACCTTCTACTTTCTCAACCCCTCCTAATTAAACTGGCTTTTCCTCAAGTGCCAGAATTCTACATAAACAAAAAACTTTTGTCTTCACTACTGGGTTTCTGTTTTAATGAACAGCATCACAGCAACATTGTTTTCTATTACTTTGGTTGCAAAGATACAGCATGTCAGTTAGGGTTTAAATTAAATTGCAACATTATGTCTACAAAAAATCATGTAGCAAATGCCAAACTGACTTAAACTTCTGGAATAAAATCAATTCCTAAATTAGGACTTGCCTTTTTTTTCTGTTCAGTTTTAAATATTTGTTACAAGAATTTCCTCTTTGGCATGTTTTCTCTTATATAGAAATGTATAATGATACAATAGTACCATCCTCAACATCACAGCTTTCTATGTAGTATTTCTACCTAGAAAGTATATATGATTCCAATTCCATTTTACAGATGAGGAAACTGAAATTGAGGAAAGTTTAATAACTTCCAGCTAGTAAGTGGCAGAGCCTGAATTCACACCTTAGTTTGTTAGCCTCCAGCTGATGCTTTCTTAGCCTCCATATTACCACCCAGCACACAGATTAAAGCTTCCCAGCATGGATTGGAACAGGTCATGACTGTGTGATTTACCTCCCCACCATTCTCTGCAGCTCCACCATGTTCCTCCCAAGTAGTTATCCAGATCTCACCAAATTTCAGGAGGATAGGGGAAAACTGGAAAAAGCTCTAAAAGAAGAGCAGTAAATACAGATCTTTAATAAATCCAGAGCCATTTTAAAAAAACAAAGCTGTACTGGAGTGGTTGGGGGTGGGAGGGATGGGGTGGCTGGGTGATAGACATTGGGGAGGGTATGTGCTATGGTGAGCGCTGTGAATTGTGCAAGACTGCTGAATCACAGATCTGTACTTCTGAAACAAATAACGCAACATATTTTAAGAAAAAAGAAAAAGAAGAAGATAGCAGGAGAGGAAGAATGAAGGGGAGTAAGTCAGAGGGGGAGACGAACCATGAGAGATGATGGACTCTGAAAAACAAACTGAGGGTTCTAGAGGGGAGGAGCGTAGGGGGATGGGTTAGCCTGGTGATGGGTATTAAAGAGGGCACATTCTGCATGGAGCACTGGGTGTTATGAACAAACAATGAATCATGGAACACTACATCAAAAACAAATGATGTAATATATGGTGATTAACATAACAATAAAAAAATTAAAAAAAAACAAAGCTGTATCTAGCAAAGAGACTAGCTGTGTGATTAATAATCAGCACCTATGATGTATGTTAAATAGCTCTCACATGACCATGAGCATCAACACAGAACATGGCTTATGTACCCACTCTCTTGTTAGCAAGAGTGCTGGGTTTTCCTTATGACATTACTCTAATGGTGTTAATAGACTGACTAACAAGATACCACTGAACAGAGACTTTGTGGGCTGCAGCACAGACAAAGACTAAGAAGAGTGAGAGCCCGGATTTGGCTATAGAAGCTGACACTTTTCTACCATCTTGGCTGGCTCCTCGCCTGATGCTGGCATGTAAGGCCAGAGCCCATTGACTCCTTTAGCCTACCATGTTGTTATCAACTTCATCCTTATTTCAGTGAGACTCTGGTCCCTGGGATGGACAGGCTCACTTGTCCTCCACGCTACCCTTTCTAGTTTACTTTCTGGACTTGAAAGGCTGGAAATGCAACATTTTTCAGACTCTCTTGCAGCTAGAATTCCAGATACAAATTAGGTTCCTCTGGTTGTATGAACTTGCATGAATACCAGAAGGCAGAAGTGAGGCAGAAACCATCTTCCTGTCCCCTTTTAAGCTATTTTTGCTGACAATCATTAAAACCGAGCTAATTTTTAGCAGCATTATTCCAATGCTCAGTCTCTAACTTCTTGGGTCCTGATAAGCAGTTGCGGCTGTTTCCAGCAGCACCATTTTTATTCTGGCTTTCTGAGCCCAGGACTGCAGCTACAGGAGTGTCTTGGGCCCCTCTTTCCAGTGGTGATCTCCAAAGTGGTAGCTCTCCTGGTAAGTCAGGCTTATATTACCCCAGATCCTCTTCCACCTCCTCCTCTGTCAGCACCATAACCACTAACATTTCTTGTATGCTCACTGTGTGTTAGGCACTAGGCTAAATACTTTATAGAAATCATTTTGTTTAATCCCCCCCACAAAAACCCATAAGGAAAGTATTATTGGGGCACCTGGGTGGCTCAGTCGTTAAGCGTCTGCTTTCGGCTCAGGTCATGATCCCAGGGTCCTGAGATCAAGCCCTGCACAGGGCTCCCTGCTCAGCAGAGAGCCTGCTTCTCCCTCTCCCACTCCCCCTGCTTGTGTTCCCTCTCTCACTGTGTCTCTTTCTGTCAAATAAATAAATAAAATCTTAAAAAAAAAAAGAAAGTATTATTAATATCACTTTGTTCCAGACGAACCTACTGAGATTCAGAATAGAGAGTTAAATTGTACTGGATCAGAGCGAAGCTAATGGGTAAGTGGGTAGAGCTGGATCTACCATCCACTTTGACCCTGGATCTGCCTCACTCCAAAGCCTATGCTCTGCCTCTTTAAAGGTATTTGCAGGCCTGGAACCTATCAGCAGATTTTAATTGCCAATACACATTATGTTGCTGAAGAGACATCATTCTTTTCCCTTTAACCATATACATGTAGAGGCCAGTCTATTTTGCATCGAGATATATCCAGATATCAAAGAAGCCTTCAATCTAATTAGATAGAAAGGCATTTAAAATATTAAGAGGTATCACTTTGTAAAAACATGTCTAAGTCATTCCGAAATCATTTCTTTATAAAAGTTAAAAAATTGAGACCAAAGCAAACACAGCCTTCTGCTTGCTCTTGGAAGGCCCAGAGCTGGGCATCCAGACATGCACTTACCAGGCGCTCTATTAACAGCGAGGTTTCGGAAATGGCTGCCTTTGATCATTTCCACGGATAATCGCCCCGTTGTGGCATTGTAGGACAGCCCCACCAACAGCTCTGGCGCTCCTCCATGAGACAGCGACTGCGTGGATGAAGCACTATCACTGTGAGAAACTGCAGATGGGCTGAGCGGAGACTCTCCACTCTGGAGGGGAAGAACAACAAAGAATCCATTGGTCCACGCTGTACTACTCTCTTACAGAAAGCCGATATTATGTTTGGTGAAATCGTGGCCCAATCTCAACTGCTGCCAAAGATTACTAACAGCGCACTTGGTGTGAATGATAATGGGCCTGGGGAATGCAGTCATGGATGAGATGCCCCGCATTACTCGCTGACATATTTGCTTCGAGAGCTGTCTCCATTCAACATTTCCTCTCTAAAGACAAAATGGACAAAGATGTTATTACTAGTGTAAATCAAACGCTCTCAGATACACGAAGAGCTAATAATACATTTAATATAGACCCAAATTCCCTCCAGTGTCATTTGTGCTTGAATGTTTCTATGGAACCCATCCACTCTAGGCATGAGTTTTGTTTCTGTTCTCTGCAGCTTCTTGATGAATGTAGTAATACAGGAGGCACTTTGTCTTCACTAGAACAGAAATGACCACGACCATCTACCACCACATAGAACATTTGGCCCCTAGTTCTACTTCCTAGGGGTGTCAGGAATACACCAGATGCTATTACCCCCCCCTCCCCGAGGAAATGAATTACACTGAAAATGAGCACTTTTATGACTGTCTGGTAAAACAGTCCATGATTGGACTGTGGATCTCAGAGACTTTGCATGCACCAGGTGAGCCTAGGAGAGAGACGACGCTTTCTGTCCTGTTTATTCACACACCTGCTTCCCCAAAGTGCCCACCTTTCTACACCAGCCACATTGGGAGGAGGAGAGCAAAGTAAGTCAGGATGTTGACTCTCACCTCAAGAGGCATAGTGGGCACTGGCCCTGGGGGGGGCAAGACAGCCAGCCTCCAAGAGCCACCACCTCCTCCACCAGAAACAAGTGCATCAGACTTAGCTCAAACTTTCTTCCAAACATCTGAAGTCATTTCCTAAACTTGTTATCAAAAACCCCACAAAGGGACGCCTGGGTGGCTCAGGTCATGATCCCAGGGTCCTGGGATCGAGCCCTGGTCGGGCTCCTTGCTCAGCGGGGAGCCTGCTTCTCCCTCTCCCACTCCCTCTGCTTGTACTCTCTCTCTCTGACAAACAATTAAATAAAATCTTTTTTAAAAACCCCACAAAATAAACACATTAAAAGGAATTAAATATTCTTCACATCTGTAGGAAAAAACCCTGTTTACCAAGTCATGGCAGAGCCCTGGGTTTTCAAGAACACAATATGAAAACTATAGGGAGAGCTGGTTTTGATAGGGGCCATATAGGCCCTGCTGTCTAGATGATGACAATCCAGTAGTGACATATTTGCTTAGTTTGGGGTAAGCACACCCCTCCCCTGTGCTTCTACAGAAGCATCTACCAAGGCACCTATCACAACAGAGCTTGCCTCTCCCATCACATTTGAATCCTTGTAGATCACTCAGTCTAGTGCATAGCCCAATGCCTGGCATATAATCATGATGAACAGATAACTGATGAATTTTTACCTTCAAAGTTCTTTCACGCTGGCTCATCTTCCCCACTCAACTCTGTGTCTCTAGGACAGGACCTGGCACAGAGAAATCGGGGTGAGGTCATACCTACTCCTATGCCTTATAGTGCAGGATTCCTTGACCTCCTCTGACTTCTATTTTCCATGATTTCACATATACTTTAGTCAGAGCTTAAGAAAAAAGAGAGATTTAAGCAGAAATGAGAAATGATCTGCCTTTTTTTTTTTTAGATTTTATTTACTTTAGAGAGAGGTAGAGAGCACGAGTGGGGGGAGGGGCAGAGGGAGAGAGAGAATCCTATGCAGACTCCACGCTAAGCTCAGAGCCAGATGTGGGGCTCCGTCCCAGGATCGAGATCATGACCTGAACCAAAATCCAGAGTCAGACACTTAATGGACTGAGCCACCCAAGTGCCCCTAAAAGGTTCATTTGGGTCCCTGGGTTGGGAAGAAGGGGCAAAGGCAAAAGCAGGAAGACCACTGGGAGGCCATTTCAATAATCCAGCACAGTTAGGTTCTGGTTATAGTTTGAAGATAGAGCCAAGAGGATTTCGGGTTGACCTGAACAACTAAAAGGATGAAGTTGCCTTTAGCCAAGATGGGAAGGCTGCAGGTAGAATAGATTTAGGGAGACAAGTCTGGAGATACTAATTTTGAGACAGCTATTAAAAATTTAAGTGGCTGGATCTCCCATCACTACACTCCAGGCTTTCTGGCTCCTTTCCTCCCCCTAGACAGGACAAGCTCCTTCCTACTTCTCGATGCCTGAATGTGCCATGTCCTCCGTCTAGAATCCTTGGTCATTCACATGTCACCAGGCTTGATCCCTTGATTTGTGGAGTTCTGTGTTTTATTACCACCTCAAAGACACATTCTCTGACCCTTCTTAACCAACCGCAGCCTCTATCCCTCTCTCTCTCCCCTTGCAAACCCTGGTTTTCTCTTGTTGCCCCAGGCTGAAAGCTCTTGAGGGCAGAGGCATCACCCTTTTTGTTCTTTCCTACATCCCCTCTGCCTGTATAGCACCTGACATGGCAGGCACTCAGTAAACGTTTCTGAACGGATGACTGATTGGCCCAATAGCCCAAGATGAGCTACCTGATATTTTTACATGGTTTTTAAAAGGAGGCCCTCATACTAGATGACATTTAACCCCCAGCAATAGCGGGTTGTCCATCATGGAGACATACAAGCTGTGCGGAGATGCAGAGGATAAGGCACATGGTAGGAGCGCAGGCATATACATGGAAGGTCTTAGGAGTGGCTGGAGATCTGGGCTGCTATGGTAGCCGACTCATACAAACATGTTAAGGAGCTCCCCTTCAAAGTCCCATCTCTGAGATTCATCATAATGCAGAGTAAGGGTGGCGCAAGAGGGAGATGGTCAGACCACAGGTCAGTTAATCAGCAGGCTAAGCCCTCCCCCCACACTTGCTGTCATTTCCAGAAATGGACAGGGAATACATCCATTGACTTATAGGGAAGATGGGCACGAAGAAAAAAACCATTGTACCATGAAGTGCAAATCATGGCTTATAAGGATGGGGAGAGCCAAATGGAAAATTAAATTAAGGTGTTTGAATTCACAGGCTGAATGTACTAAATCAAGGGCTGACAATTCCAGATCCTTGAATATACCCGCATCATTAGCAGCACCATTTAACATACTCACACTGATATTACTTCTTGGCTCCAGAACCAGAGTCACTTTCATTTCCCCTTCTGGGTGCAGGAGGCTGAGATGGAATAGCTTCTCTCCCATCATTCTCTCACGGGTCATCTTGCGGGCAGCATACAGACGGAAGCGGGCAGCACAGGCAGCCACATGTCTGGGCTCCAGCTTGGTGAAGGTGACCTTCTCCGTGAAGACAGGGTTGGGGCCTCTCTGTATGCTTGTCCTGCCCCTCTGTTTCTTACTGGGCAGCAGCACTACGTGAACTTGCCAGGAGTTGACACCACTTCGGTCCTTATCTGGGAGGCCCTGTGCTCTCACAATGGTCACTGTGAGCTTCTGGCTGGAGGCTCTATATTCAAAGATGACATCCAGGTCACCACATTTTGAGATGGGCTCCAAGACCCCGGCTGGCACCTGGAAATTGGCCCCATCCTGTTCCTGTTGCAGATAGAGGAAGAGATTAGGAATGCAAATGATAATGCCCAAATACCCTTTGGTGAGATGGTGCCCCTCTGTGCTCCTTCAGAACCCTGTACTTTTTGACTACTAGCACATATCCCTATACATTAGAAGGGTCTAGACATAGACATACTGGTCTATGTCTCCCTTGGACTGTGAATTCTCTAGGGGTACAGTCTCTGGCATATGGTGAGCCTTCATGAATGTTTTTGGAATGAATGAAGAAAGCTTTTATAATTTGCAAAGTGTTTTTATATACACTGACTCTCAAAAAGCACAACTGACCACTATCATTGAAACTGAGATACTAAGTCTAAAATTAGTCAACTATGCAACTGCCAAGAAACAACTTTTTCTGGAGTCCCCAGGAGAAATGGTTGAGTCTGGGCCTGTGCTCCAAGGGCCAGGACTTCCTGCAGATGAGAATCCTTATGGGGCCCAACGACAGGTGATCCTTCAGTAGATTTTCAAGCTACACGGGGGAAAAGGTTTTAGAGTAGAGCTTCTCAACCGTTCATGTGGACTTGAGTCACTCAGAGTTTCTGATTCCGTAGGCCTGGGGTGGGGCCTGAGACTCTGCACATCTAAGGCCCTGAGGATGCCACAGCTGGCCTCAAGACACACTTTGAGTACGAAGGGTTTAGGAGGACACCTATAGCAACCACTTAGCAAACAGCAACACTGGATGCGGAGACAGAGGGTTGAAAGCGTAACTCTACCACACACTAGGTTTTTGGTTCTGGCCAAAAAGGCCACCCTCTCTGTGCTTTAGCTGCCAAATGAACATTAAGATGCCTACCCGATGGAGTGCTGTGGTGAGGTTTTATGAGATAGGGAAAAATACCTGGCTTAGACCAGACTCCATCAATATCTATTCCCATCAATGGACTGATGCTGCCTATTTTCAAGCATGGGCCCCTCATTGTAAAAGAGCACCCTTAGACAACAATTCACCTATAGCCACTCAGATCTGATGACCTCACAGAGAAAGCTGAGCTGACCTGCATTACTACAGTGAAGTACTCTCCAACAAACTATAAAGAATGTCAACATAATTTGATTTTTTTCTATGAAGGCATGATACTCATAACTAAACTTTGAGCTGATTTTTGTTGTAAATCGGAATCCATTTTCATTTATGTAATTCAACACCAGACTTTGCTAATTTAAAGACTACTTTAAAATATATAATAAAGCACCTCAAAAATGCACATTCATCAGCAGGACTTTCCCCGCAGAGTGGAGATGAAAGTGCACAGTTCTCTGGAGTGAGACATCCTTGGGGACCCCAGGTCTACCACTTCCTCCCCCTAGGGCATTGGACGAGTTATCTAATCCTTTCCACTCTTGGTTTTTTTCAAGAGTAAAATGGGGATGAAAACTATTTATAGGGTTGTTGTGAAAATGAAAGGATTTGACATGCGGAAGACATGGAATAAATGCCTTCTCTTTTAAAATTCACGTTAATCTACCGAGAAAATTTAGGCTTCTTGCAAAATAAGGGAAGCTCCTTATATTCTTTCCTCAGCATGCATTCATGTGAGAGTGTTTCTATTCAGAGGTACTTAGTTTCAAGTGATAAAAGTGGTTGCTATAGAGACTTCTGAATACAACTGACTAGTGTAGGTATAATATTAGAAGCAAGTCTCCAAGGAGTTAGGCTAACTCAGAAATCAAGTCACAGTCTTCTGTTAAAACTCCCATCTATTTTAGCTTACTCTTGATCATCTCTATATTGCTTGCTGGATCAGAAGTAATGATAGCCCACTTCTACTAAGCCCTTTCTTGTGCCGGGTACCGTACTAAACCCTTTACAGACGGCAAAAGCCCACTGTTACGCACTTTAGAATTTCTTGTTTTAGACCTTTTGTTACGTCTCCCCCTCCAGGTGCAGTCTTTCAGGCTCTAAGTAGCTTCGGCCTGACACAGCCCAAGGAGGTCCCACCTCCCGCCCATGCGATGTGAGTCTCAACTCCCACCACAGGCCTCTCTGTTGATGTTAAGTCTTGGAAAGTTACAGAATCCTGGCTGGCATTCATGTATAGAAAGTCCAGCATGTGTGTGAGGTTAATGCCCCAGGCAGTAAACTTGTCTCTCCTTGGACAAGTGTCCTGAGAGCAGTTTAATACAGCTTCTTACAGCACAGTCCCACAAAATCAAGCCACGAGTCACACTTATTGGTGGCCAACTTGATTACACGTTCTAATATGGCTCTCCCTTCTTCCCTGCCTCACTCCCCGCCTTGTCCCTCACTCTTGTTCCCAGGGATTATATATCCTGACAAAGTAGGCTCTGCTTTTTGTGAAATCCAGCTAAGAAATATTATCTTTTAAAATATTCACATTAACCTAACGAGGAAGGAATTTTAATATCTTCATTTTATGGGGGAGGAAATTTAAGATTTAGAAACTCACTCCCTGCCCCCAACCTCATATGCCCCACCAGGACAATGCAGGATTTTCCAGCATTAATGCTCAAAATCCCAAACCTTATGTCGAACCGCGATGTCTCCCTTCTTCTCCCCAAGCCTCTCACCATAGGTATTTATGTTTGTAGTAAGTGTGTGGGGTGAGGCGGGGGTAAGATGAAAGATGAAAAGACATACTACTTTGAATTTCACATCCTTTTAAGTCCCTGCTCTTAATTATAGTTAATAGTTCCCAGTTTTGTCGGCAACTTCAATGCAAGGTAAAAATATTCGGGTCACTGAGTCTCTCTCCACTTATCCATCAGGCTATCTATTCAGACAAATGCTCACTCCACCTGCAGGTCTGTGGGAAGTCCTTTGGAGGTCTCTGAAATGACTCTCCTCAGAACCCTGCCTAAGACAGAGCTGTAGGCCATAGCCAGGCTCTGGACAGGGCCGAGCCAAGCAGTAGCACAGGGAAGCTGGGCTTTGTGGCCCCTTCCTGGGTTGATCTGAAACAAAGATTTGGGAAGGCTGGTATTTTCATAGCAATTAATTATTTCAACACACATTACCTATCACCCGGCTCTCCTCATGCGGGTACTCTTAATACCACTAATCCATCTGACCTTCCTGCAAGGTAAAAATCTCTTCATTTTTATCCCCATTTGGCAGATTTTAATTAACTTCTCAAGGCCAACCAGTTAATCAGTGGAAAGCAGAGATGAAAAGTGGGACACCTGCTTCCCTGTGTGCTCAAAATCACCAGCCACCCTCCCATTGTCTTCCCTGCCAAGCCTTGGGTCTGCAGGAAAAAGTCGATGGCCTTTTCCAGGAGAGAAGAGCAGAGTTCAAAAATCCATCAGCCTAACAGGTAGTCACACTGCATGGCTGGTTTCCTTCTGAGGCAAAATAAATGATTCTCTTAGTTCTAATACCCCGATTTTTCTTTAAGATGGGAATATTTGTGCCACGCTGTCAAAACCCTTGTAGGTTTAAAGATTTTCTATCAGATTGAAAGCCTTTGTGTTTTAGTAAGATAGGGTTGATGTCATCTGTGTGGCCCCAAGTAAACAGACCTGCAATATGTTCCCGATGCCAGATACACAGGGGAAGACAGGGTTCTTAATACAGCTAAGAGGCAAATAAATCAATTCTTAAAAGGCAAGCTAAGCCTGCAAAGCAGGCAGTTACAGGAACTGCCTCTGAGCTGTATCTGAGGTTCTACCGTAGGAGCACCAAATTACAGTTTTTGTCTCAAAATAGATAGGAGGTTGAATGGAGCACACAGAGATGTCTGGGTATTTTTGGAGTCTGGGAACATTCAGTGCTCTCAACACCAAAAGTCTTCTATGAAAGCTCCATGAGTTAGGCAGATGGGAGGTTACCTGAAGAAAGCAATCCCAAGCCTAAGGGAACAGTTTTCAAGGGGACAGAGTATTAAGAGGCAGGTAAACAGTTTTGTTTTGTTTTTGTGGTGAGAAAGTCAAAAATAATATTTTTAAATGTTAAATGTTATTGTGTGGAATTTGATAGGACTCCTTTGCAGTAAAACAACTGGGAAGCAGAATTAAAAAAAAAAAAAACCAACTTTTAAGGTTAATAGCTTTGGGTATCTCTATATGTAGGGCTGCTCTCAACAAGCCACAAACCACGTATCCGAGTTACTGTTTCTTGTCCTCAGCAGTAACACCAACACATGGGCACACACCCACCCACGTGTGCACACCTCCTTATGCTCTCTCTACACATCCCAGTGCATTAGCAGTAAGGTTTTGGAACATGATTTTCTGTGATTATTTTTTTTCTTCTCCTGGAGGAGCATTTGGTATGTATGACAGTCTAGGTCCTAATAAGAGATTCTACCAGTTTCTTTTCCCAGGCAGACTGATGCTAACAAAATCCATTCACTTTTCTCTTTCCTCTTGCCCCACAAATCATATTAATATTTATATACATACATTACATATTTCATCAAAATTAATTTCAAAGTAGGCATTAGACATTTATTATTTTACATCTCTTAATGTCGTAGAATCATAATAAAAGAGATCTAGCTAATAAAGAATAACCAAAAAATGCCTGTTAGATAATGTAATGTTTGTAAATCTTTATCACAGTGCCTGGCACATAGTCCCTGCTCAATAAATGGTAATGTCTATAATAATCACCTCCAATCATACCTCTGGGCAGTTAGGCATATTCTGGAGTAAGTTTTAAATAAGAAATAAATTTAGAAGGAGCATCTTTTTTCAGAGATTTATTCCAAAAAGCAATGTAAGTGGCCAGAGGGTCATCACAAATTAAATGCCATCTCCTAGATCTTGAATTCAATCCAAATCCACAGCAAGATCTTCATCATAATATCTTGCATCATTTCATTTAGAAGGCCATTGTATTTTAGTCTAATTTTCAAATAATTCTTTTATTCAAGTAATTGTAACTCAAGTTTTGGGGCAAATAAAAATAGACTCCGTTTTAACTGAAACCATGAAGGAAATAAACCAGTCTTCTCTGAAGAACTAGAAACTCTTTTATATAAACAAGAAGTGTAATTGTTGCTGGTTCCATTCTGCCACCATTCTTTTCCCCCCTATTTTGACAGAAATTTATTTATGAATCTTTTATTGTGTACCCCCTTTGATTGGTACACATAGGGGCTGTGACTTGGTCATCTGAAAAAATTTTTATTTCAAATAAAGGCTCCTTGGGTCTTTGTTTTTCAAGGCAATGCTTCTTTCTTGGAGAAATGTTTTTCTTGAGGCATGGCGAGCAAGAGGAAAGCAAGAACTCACCAGAGAGCACACAACACTCAAGCAAAAAAAGAATGGAAAACAAATAACTTGCCTCTGGACTCCACATGGAAGAGCTATCAGCAGCATAGGACTCTTCAAATCCCTGGTTATTAAAGCCTGTCTCCAATTCCAAGCTGCCTTCTGTGGACTGGTGACTGAGGCTGCGAGGCACGCTGGTCTCTTGGGGAGCTGTGCCATGGTGCCTGGTGTTCCCCACCTCACATGGGGACTGTGAATGGGCAGAAACAGGGTCATCTTCACCGTAGGACAGATTCTCAGAATAACTCAGCTGGCTGGCTCCATCCAAATCTAAATTTGCAATAAGGAAACTATCAAGACCTCAGAAGCAAAGCCTATCAAATAACACCTGCAGAAACATAATTACATCCACGTGGTAGATAAACTTGGTCTATATAACCAAAAAGACCATTAGTTCATTACATGGGGTATAAGAAGGTTTAATACTTTCTAATAATATGACTATGAAGGACGTGTGTTAATGTTAAAAGGATAAAATAAACATATTAGCATTTTGTTGGAACTAACAGCCACAAGACCTTGGGGATAGATCTAGAAAGCAAGAGCAACAATCTACTATGGAGATCATATTGTGTCCTGACTCTACCATTCTTCTTTCTGTCTACCATGTTCTCATATTACCGTCTCCTTGGAAGGCTTCATGGTTCTCTCAAGTAAAAAGTTCTCTACTTGATCCATGGAAGGAACACTGGACTTGGATTCAGATAATCTGGGTTTAAATCCTAACTCTGCGTTAAGAATTTACACAAAATTTGAACTGCCCAAACCTTTGTTTCCTTATCTATAAAATGATTATAAAAACCACTAGGGAATCATTGTGGACACATGAAATAATAGCCTCCTAGCAGTCACCAGTTTTCCATAAGTATTAGCCTTGCTTGCTTGTCTGGCCCCAACTGGCCTCATCCAACCCGGTAACCCACATTTTCTACTGCCTCCCACTTTGCCGTCACCTGTCGCCCCATGGGCTCATGGAAACACTAGTTGTGTATTTCTGTTCACTGTGGTCCTCAAACCCCCTCTCCCCCAAACTGCCCTCTCCTTCTTGTCCATCCAAAGCCCAACAACACCTGAATCTTCCCTGACTTCTTGGACTCAGTGTTTTCCTCTGACCTTAGTGTTATTCTACTTTCTCTGTCAGTAGTCCCTCACCGATGCATCTCCTTCCTCTCCTTTAAAGTTTAGGTTACCCTCAGACAGTAAAGAAAAACAGGCAGGGTCTTCCTAAGCAATAGCTTTCACCCTGACTTTCCTCCCACATCCAGAAAGAAGCCAAGAATGTATTCTCTCTTTGGTCTCCAGTCTCCTCCGGAAGACACCAACCCGGTATAAGAGAAAATTAGAGATATAGACAGGACGCGTGAGTACAGGGATGACAAAGTATAGATCATGAATTCAGCTCTTATTTACACTGTATGGTAGCAACTGTTTCCACTGTTGGTCTTAAAGCCCCATTGAGAACATAATCTCCTGGGAGGTACTAAGCCACATACCTATGCTTTCTAGTCTTTATTCACTAGTGGGTTTCACAAAACTCTCCAATAACTTTCAAGACTAGGCTGGTTAACAAATATTTGAAGCAGCCAGGTGTGCGGCAAAATGGAGTAGTGGGGACAGTGGTTTACCAGACAGTTTATGACCCACCTGCTGTAAACAGGCAAACTTAAAAAATACGTTATCACCCTATGCAGACTATACAAAAACATCTTTAGGCAGACTTAGTACTCAGAGCAACCTCAAACTCCTGATTTGGGATTTTGCAAAACCATGGCAATCCACCAAGAAGTTCCCCTAACTGCCTTGTTATTCTTAATAATTCAATTCAGGCCCCTTGGAAACACTTTCATAGGCCACCATAACATTTTTACATTCACACACCTCAGTTATTTCGCAAACACACTTTAAAAAGGCCACAGAAAATGAGAGAACAAGGGATATTCCATATGCAAAACCCTACAACATAAAGCAGAATTTTCTTCTAAGGCTCTAATTAGCACATCCATTCCTCATATACATGAACACTAAAATGTCCTATTAAACAGTAGGTCATCCATCAACGTGTGCAGCACCCAGCAGGATTTCAGCACAAAATCTAACTTTGCCAAGAAATTACCCCCATAAAATTGTCTCATGACTTTAACTCCTACAGTGATAATACCTAGATCAGTAATAAGGGAATTTTCAAAAGCTACATTAAGCCTTGAAAAGCTATTCATAACTGAAAAACATAAGAACTATATTAATGTAACAAACCATTTTCCTTGACAGACAAGCAAGGAATGAATTAGAAAAGCAAAGCTGGGGTACAAGTCACGAGGCAGAGGAAAAAGAAAGGGGATTCACCATTACATAAAGCAATCTTCCCATCCTATAAGTTAAAGAAGACCGTGTCACCTTAAACACATACAGAAATGTAATTGCCTGTTGTCAGAGAAATGTATCCTAGCTTCTTAGAAATTATAGGCCATAATTATGTCACACCATATTTGTTTTAGCAGAAAATTTTGCACTTTTTAATCCATGTCCCACTTTGACGTGGTATAATCCTATTATCCAGTTACTTTATTTTACACTCCCAAACCCTTCCCTCCTACCACCACCCACATACAAATACTTTTGCCCACTACAATGGTCAGTTTTATGTGTCAGCTTGGCCAAGCTATAGGCCTCAATTAATCAATCAAACACTAATTAAGGAGATACTATGGAGGTATTTTGTACATGTGACTAAAGCCGTTATGCAGTTGACTTCAAGTAAAGGAGATTATCCTACATAATTAGTCCATCGAAAGCCTTAAGAGGAGAACCGAGGTATCCTTGGACACAAAGAAATTTCACCTATGGATTTCAGAGCTCTAAATTTCTGTTTCTTAGCCAGCTCCAGCAATAGCATAGGCCAATTCCTGGCAATAAATCTCTTGATATATAGGCCACTCTCATATCACCTTTAAAAAAAATTTTTAAGTAAACTCTACCCCAACGTGGGGCTTGAACTCATGACCCTGAGATCAACAGTTGCATGCTCTAACAACTGAGCCAGCCAGGCACCCCAGTGTCACCTTGATATATATAAAATCCTAATTGATACACCATCCCAAACAAAACTGAGCACAGATTCCAGGGATAAGTGAGCTGTTTTAAATGACACCAGGAATGTAATGTCTAGCTTTTTTGAAACATCCTAAGAACTACATATTTCACAAGCAAAAATAAGGCTTTGCTCAAAAACAATTAAATAAACAAACAAATTAATAAATGCCCTGATAAGTAGACTATTATTCTGCAGCCCACTTTTCAGACCTAAAGACCTGATATGCAGCCTCTAATCTGGATCACTTAGCACAAACCCTCTTTGACATTACTGGGGATGCAGTGACAGTTAATGCACAACTACACTAAGTCAGATAAATGAGACAAGAGAGAACTTGCCAGGGATATGAAGATAGCATTTGCTTGGTTCTAATAACCTCCCCACTCCATCTAGAATGGGAAGGATCCTACCTGATGAAACATGAGACAACCTACCAATAACTCATTCATGGTTCAGATTTTACTTGGATTTGGACCTTTACTTTCACTGGTCCAACATTTTGAAAGCATTTTTAAAGTGGAAGAATTGTCTACAATTAAATTTTATCTTAGAAAATCATATTTAAGGTAGAGTGAAAAAAAGCTAAATAGATGGAGGACAGGTAAAAAAAAAAAACCCACAACTCCTCTCTGGGGTGCATGCTTAATCTCTTCCTTATTCTTAACTGCTGAAAACAAATTCACAAATCTAAAGATGAACAAAAAGAAATTACACAGAACAAAAAATCATGCAATAAAAATTACATTAACATTTCCATGGCATTTGATAACCTAAAATTTAACAGGCAGTTATCCCCTTCTATGAAAATCCTGCGGATTTTCTTCAAAATCTACAGGTAATTTATCCAGTGCAGTATGCTTTTCCTCCCTCCAACAGAGAAAGAAACGTGATCTTTCCTGTCACTCTCTGTCAAGTTTTTCAGAATCACCAGTTATGAATAAAATTATTGCTAATTCCAGAAGCAGTGAGGGTTAGAATGGTTGTCAGAACTCCCAGAACATGGGCCATTTGTATAAATCAGAAACTAGACATTTAGGCTTTGGGGAAATGGGGCCATTAGCTTTAGAATGCAGTGAGATGCTCCTAGGGAATCAACTGCTATTAACTTTCATTAGCTAACATTTGCCCTCTCAGCGGAGAGGGAGGACCGCCGTGACAGAACACCAGCGAAAGAGAAGACAGGAGAGGGGTGAGTGAGTGACAGAGGTCAGTAGCTACCGATACAGTACGGTGGTCACTTACCTTGTGCTAACAGAACAGCAATAAAATATGTTATGTTGGCCCATATCAATAAGCACAATTACATGACAGCAAATTATTACATTTCTGCTGATTAAATAAGTAAGATTCTTTCTGTATATTTTCCTTTTTAAAATTTTTACTTTGTTCTTTTTCAGGCTGCCTCATCCACCTCATCAAACCAGACATTTATTCTCTGTTATCTTTTCTCAATCTTGGAATCTCCTTTTTCTCTTCCTATTGTTAAGGGTTGCAAAATATGGAAGACCTACAACTACACCCCCATTGGTTTGACTGACCATGTGTCCAAAGGAAAGAAGGAAAAGATTAGAGAGCACAGGTCATTTAGACCAGGTCACTTAAGCGGGCGGTGTGACATTTCTTCTAGCTTTCTACCTAATACGATTCACAAACCCTTCCTAGTTTCAATATCCTGTGCCTACTCAGGGTTCTGGGCAAAAAAAAAAGTCAGAGAAATGCCTGACCTTCACTAGGGAAAGCACTAAGAAATATTTTACTGTTCTTTTGCTAGGTTATTTTGTGTGAGTGGTGTGGAGAGAGGATTCTTCACAAGGCCAACCTACCATAACAAGCCACAAGCTGTGCTTACTGTACCTCAGAGTATTTCCCCTCCCCACTGTGGAAGGTACTCAGTCTGAAGACACTGGAGAATGGCAGAAGACCTTGCTCTTGCTCAGCAAGCAATTCTCCTGTGGGGCAGGGGATGGAGGCGGGGAGGAGGGCACCACAGAAACTACAGGGAAGGAGGGCAGATGTGCAGGGTATGTGCTGTTTGAAAAATGTTATTCAATATTACTGTAATACATGTTCTTATTTGAAAGATAAAACATACCTGTGGCTTTAATAATACGAACTACTAAAAGAAAGATTTCAAAAATTGTCTGAGGCTATATAGATAAATAGAAAATAGACTCTGACTCCAAATGAGAGAAAAGGCACAGAATCTCAATGTCAGCAAACAGGTTATGTGAAATGTTTATATTTATCAGAAGAGATTAAGATTTTAGAAAGCTTAATAAATACCATGCTAATTCTAACCATTAGTGTTCAAAATATACCAAATGATAACCTGTAAGGAAGGAAGGAGTCCCACAAATCAGGGGTCAAGATTTTGGCACTTCTTATCCATTCCTTCTCCCAGTTCCCTGCATGACACCCCCTCTGCAAGGTTTGAAAGAACCCCTTTACTCTGTTCCAGCCTCTAGGTCTTGCCCCATTTTCTTTTCCTCTCTGGACCCTAGATACAAGTATAGTGATTGACTCAAAGATGTTCTTACCATTGTCCTTCCCTGCTCTAGGTAAAAAAAGGGTTTCATGCAAAGAATACCTTCGCAGGCAGACACTTCTGTGTTATCCTCCTCATGGGTAGGGAGCAGGTGGCTGAATTTTGATTTTTGTTCCAATCCCACCTGCTTTCCTTTTTCAGATGCTTCTGAATGGAAACTCTGGGACCGGGACACAGAAATCTCAAATTGTTTGATCACCTCTTCGTCACTGTCAGAAGACGTGCATGGCTCTTCATCATCTCCAAAGCTGTTAACTGGGATCAAACAAGAGCCGTGAGTCTCATGTGGGGCTCACAAGAATACAGAGATCAATAATCCAGAGAAATAGAAGAACATGGAAGAACATGAATGATTAGTCTGGATAAAGCAGGCCCAAATCAGACAGAAAGATTTTAAAGCATTTTTTGAAACACAAATTTGAGTCCAAAGAAATAAAACAGGAAAATAAAGCTTATGTGGGCAAGTAGAAATATATGGCTGGAACCCAGGAGGAACCATCGGGACACCCCTAGTTGACATATTAAGACCTTTTGTTGAGCAGGGCAGCCCTGCTGATTTGTTCCGTTGCTGACATGTGCTTATAACTGGGAACAGGGCATTTGACGATGATGACAGAAAATATGCTCTTAGCTTCATCTCTGTTATTAAAACACAAAGAGCCAAGTCCCACTCCAGAGAAGACATACTTGCAACCGAGAACTTCCAATAGTGTCCTAGTTTTGAAGAGACACCCACAGTTGTGTATGCAATTTATACAAAACTAGTTTTTATTATAATGTTCTGATGTCTTTCTCAGCACCAACAACCCAACCCAAACACCCTTTGAATTATTTGTACCACTTTCCCCATATCAGCTCACTGGCCCTTTCAGTTTCTCCAACAAGCCAAGATGGTTCTTCCCTTTGAGTTCTTTGTCTTTGTTGTTCTTCTGCCTGGAACCCTCCTGCCCCTGGTGTTTTCCTGGCTGGCTCCTCTCACCACTGATGTGTCAGCTCCACTGTCACTTCATCCTAAACTTGGCCTCATTGTCACACCTTTAGCAATTTTCTTCAAAACACTTCTATTCCTCTCTTCTCCCCCCCATGACTTCCATGAAAATAAAGACATCATTTGTTTTGTTACCTGATGTCTCTCCATTATGTAAAACAATGCCTGTTGCATAGTAAGTGCTTAACAAATGCTTGTTAAGTCTTGAAGAAACTGGTGAAGATCCAGTGTTTCCTCCCAAGCCTGAGCACCCCCACCCTCCCCACCCACACATACTCACCCAGGGTTCCCTGTGCCCGAAATATTTTCCCCAACCCCTGTCTGGACTACTGGACTAGTCAAGAATCTAGCTCATCATCAGGACTCAGTATAGACATCACTTCTAGAAAGCTTTTCACTGACCCCTTAAATCAGGTTCAGGGCTTTTTCCATGAGCTGTAAAATATCTCTCAGCCCTGCCCTATCAGTGTTCCTTCCAGCCTTGTGACAGATTTACCTATTTAATTCCCAACCATTCCACCTAACCTGTACACATCAGGGGATTAAGAGGCACAGCGGACTACTCACCTTCCCATCCCTTCAGGCCCTATCTCCATGCCAGGCATATGGCAGGCTACTCTGTAAATATTTGCTGAAAGTAAATTGGAAATTATAAATAATGGGTTTTTTTTTTTTTCCAGACAGAGAGAGTTGGGAGGGGGTTGGGAGAGAGGGAGGGAGAGAGAGAGAATCTTAAGCAGGTTCCACACCCAGCATGGAGCCAGATGGAGGGCTCTATCTCATGACCCTGAGATTACGACTTGAGTCAAAATCAAGAGGCAAGCACTTAACTAACTGAGCCACCTTGGAGCCCCAATGGGAAATTATTTTTTAAAATTTTGCTCCTTCCATCCAAAACTCATACAGTAATTCTTGGGAAGAGTATGGTTATTAATTCACAGATGGGTCCTGAAGATCACTTCTGAATCAGAAGCTAAGAAAAAATTATAAAGACATTTTTTAAGTGAGAGAAAATACTTTAAGTACCAGCCTGGTCAAAACATCTGTTCTCTGTCTTATTTAAGAGTTGATATTCCTGAGTTTGTTTAGAAGATTAGGAATAATAATAATCACTTATTTGTTTGTTTATGTGCCAGGAACTGTCCTAAGTGCCTTACACATATTATCTCATTTAATCCACATGACACACCCATTATTGCTCTCATTTTCCAAGTGAGAAAATCGAGAAAAAGAAAAGTCTACAACTGGCTGAAGATTACGCTCCCAATAAAGGGTAGAACCGAGATTTGAATCAAGGTAGCCTATCTCTAGAGGCCATGTTTCTAATTATTATTCTGAAGAACCAGAGAGAGGCAGTGGAAAGAACCCTTCTGTATGCTCACATCAACCAGCTCAGTCCCTGTGGTCAAATCTCTTGACCTGTCCGGATCATTGCTAATGTCTGGATCCTTTCCCAGGTCTTCTCTAGATCTAAGTTTTCTGACTCCAAACTTCCTAACGTCAACACTGGATCTGTTTTGCTCTTTTATGAAGCAGCTGATCCAAGAATACAAGAGCACATCACTGTCAGTTCACTCAATTCTGTTGGCTGTGACCAGCACCAGTAAGACTTGAAAAGCTAAGTGTCAAAAGACACTAGATCAGAGGGGGAGACGAACCATGAGAGACTATGGACTCTGAGAAACACACTGAGGTTCTAGAGGGGAAGGGGGTGGGGGGGTGGGTTAGCCTGGTGATGGGTATTAAAGAGGGCACATATTGAATGGAGCACTGGGTGTTATACGCAAACAATGAATCATGGATCACTACATCAAAAACTAATGATGCAATGTATGGTGATTAACATAACATAATAAAATAAAATTAGATTTCTTTAGCTTATTGGAAAAAAAAAGACACTAGATGTTCTGCTAATACTAAAAAACCATCACAAGAGGCAGTCTTCCCATGTCTCAACATGCTGTGCAAAGCACCTGTTGTGGGATAGACCATCACATATGGGAGAGACCCAGAGACCAATGGAGCAAAATTAAACTCCCTTCACCATTAGAGCAAGGGACCAGCTAAGCACCTGGGAAGGAGTTAGGGGGATATATGCATGGGAGGGTTATTTGGATGAAGCATTCATTGGAGTTCTAAGTCTGAGATTCCATTCCATTTATATTACAAGGTCAGATTTTTAAATGTAAGTAGTCATAGTCATCAGTCTCAAATTGAGTGAGTGGGTATTTCCTCATCTATAAAATCAATAATTGAAATTCATTCATTTTTTTTAGAATTCATTAATTTACCATTATATGATCCCTGAGTTTTTTTTTTCCCAGTGAGTCACTGATCATCCACAGAGGAAAGATTTCCATTTCACTAAACATATACTACATTCCAGACACCTTCTTGGGACTTTCCATATATTATCCCATTTAACCATCACAGCAACACCATGAAGTAAGGATCATTATTATTCCCCTCATAGAGATGGAAAACAGAGGTACAGAAAGTTAAGTAACTTGCCCTAAGCAACAAAGTTAGCAAAGTAACAAAATGGGACTTGCACATAGAACCTATGTTCTTAGCTAATGTGCATATCATCAAACGTTATTGTGTGAGGACACTAGAGCCATATCTAGTTTATTTTCAGAGTGAGGGAGGGTGCTCTGCCTCTTCCACCCTGAAATCTGCCAGTAGGTTGCTTCCTTTGTGAGAAGAGAAGAGCAGTCAGTTCATGTGGGAATGAATACATACAGGCAGGCTGCAGTATAACTGGCCTATTGCTCCTCATGAGATTATAAATAAAACTGTATGTGCTATTCTAAGCCTCACTCCCCAAGGATCTCAGGGAATTCTCCATTTAAAAATGAAACCCGCCATCCTTCCTAAAAACCTCTCAGCAGCTACATAAGTTACTAGTGGTACTATTACAATAATAAAAGCAATTCCATATACAGCATGTGTCATGTGCAGGCACTATTCTAGAACTTTACATATTTTAACTTATTTACTCTTTACAATAACCTAAAGAATAGGTACTTTATCATTCCCATTCTGTGGATGGGAAAACTGAGACAAAGTGAGGTTAGTAATTTGCCAGAGTCATAACAGTTAGTAGATAGTGGAACTGAGATTCAAACCCAGGCTATATTGCTCCAAAATCAATGTAAATGAACATAATGCTCCCTCTACCATCTGCTGACTCAAGAGAAAAAAAAACTTTCTAAAATCCTGGTCAAAATCTACACAACTTTGTTTTATCACTAAGAACACAAAATCACATAGGTTGAGCTGGAAAGAATTTTTATAACCATCTTTTTTTTTTAAGAGAGATTTTATTTATTTATTTGACACAGAGGGGGAGAGAGAGCACAAGCAGGGGGAGCTGCAGGCAGAGGGAGAGGGAGAAGCAGGGGGCTCGATCCTAGGACCCTGGGATCATGATCTGAACCAAAGGCAGACGCTTAACCAACTGAGCCACCCAGGCGCCCCTATAAGTATCTTTTTAAAAGATTCCTGCTACTTGCCTTGTAATGAGTCTATGTCAACAACTAAATAGCTGATCTGGATTTCATTCAACTTAAATTTTTGAAAAGCACAAAATCTCATCTCAGTTGTGACAATTATTTCAGAGATAAGATAGTACTTTCTGAAACACCCTATAAATACCAAGTTAAAACCCCTTTCATGCTAGGTACCTGGGAAATAACACAGTGGCAATTTGTATTAAAATCTTCACCCCTTCATCCAATTAGCTTGCTAAAATAATAGAGAAAAAATTGGACAGTTACCATGGATGTGGATACGTCTTAAAGTTGAGATTATTCATTTCACTCCAACACAGAATACAGAGGGATCATAGATAGCACCCAAATCTCCACCACCAAAGAGAAGGCAGACTCTTCTGCAACCTTTCTGATGCTTGGCCACCCAGCTTCATGCCTTTGTTCACACACTGCCCGGGTGCTACTGTGGGATTCTTGCACTGGCACGAAGTTTGTCTTGGAAAGGTAGACAGAGCTGACTGAAGACCCATCAATACGAAATCCCTACTGCAATGGAGTCAGAATGTCCCTCCCTCTGATTTTTAATGATTTTTTTTTCTAGTTTAAGTAGGAAGGGGCAGAGCAAGGCCATCTTTATCTTTCACATTTAAGTAAAGACGGTGGGGCTCCAGAGCCACAGAAACTGCCTGTCAAGTATAACGTCAGTCAAGGCTAGAGTGGTGAAGAGTGTGGAATCTGGAGCCAAGCTGCCTAGCTTTGAATTTGGGATCTTC